TCCTCTCAAAAAAATTAATCCCATACATTTCCATTTGCCAAAGTTTTGTGTAATAAAGTCAGCTTCATATTGGCCATTGACTCGCTGAAATTATTATGTGTAAAAATGCCCCCCCTTTTTTTTAAATCCATGTAAACATTCAGAATGTATATAAAATAAATAAACAAATAAAATGTATCGAATTTCGTCAAAAAAAAAAAAATCACAATATATGGAACCTGGTAAAACGCAATATCATGAAAAAAATTCTGATAATAATCTCTTGGATAAAAGAGTGTGATTTAAAAGGCAAACAATTCCGATTTCTCTTCAAGGTCACAAGTCAAGGTCACCCGCCGTCAAGGTCACCCGCCGTCAAGGTCACCCACCGACAAGGTTACCCGTCAAGGTCACACGACAAGATCACCCGGTGTCAAGGTCACGAGTCAAGGCCACACGACGCCAAGGGTCACATGACAACGTCACACAACGTCAAGGTCACACGACAAGATCACCCGCCGTCAAGGTCACCAGTCAAGGTCACATGACATTAAGGTCACTCGCCGTCAAGGTCATATTCATTCGTATCTCCATTTAGGGAATTATTTTAAGCAGACATGTTTTGACGAAGGAGACGCAGAGTGAACTGCAAGAAAGGTGTAAGTAGGTAATAACGAGAAGATTGACTTGAAAGACGCGGATGGATGATACTGAAGATGAGGAAGAAGAAGAAGAAGAAGAAGAAGAAGAAGAAGAAGAAGATAAAGAGAGAAATGTGATTAGGAAGCATTAGAAGAAAGTGGGGGGAAAACAGAATTCAAGAAGATAAATGAAGACAAGAATTGGATTAGAAACGAGACAAACAAAGAACGTAAATAGAGAAAAGTGAGAAAAAGATAAGGAGAAATCAAGAGACCCAAAAAAAGGTGAAAGCGTGTTAAGACGTCGTAGAGAAACTGGAGAAACAAAAATAAACAGGGTAAGAGAGGCAGTGAGAGGCGAGCGAAGATAAGCGAAGCGTCGAGAGGAAACAAGAGAACAGTGACAGCAAAAAATTAAGTATATTAAACGAGAAAATTGACAGTGGAAAAAAAAAGGCACGACACAGTTCTGTCAGCAGAAAAGATTTTGGAAAAATAAATAAACTTTAAATGAGAGAGCACTGCAAGAGACGAGATAGAGAGAGAGAAGAGGAGAAAATAAACGATAAATAACGAGTACTCGGCGAGGACTAAAGTGAAAACAAAATGTAAAAACACCAATGATATTTTTAAAAAAAAATCTTAAAAACAAAAGTAACTGCGTTAAAATAAAAATAACTACGTAACCCGCTATTATAAATATAAAAAAAATACTTTTATTAATCTAATTTAGTTGATATACTCGTCGAGGCTTAAAAAAATGACAACAGCGCCAGCAATAGCCAAATATGCAAATAAAAATTATAAGAATATATATAAATACAAATTAACACGGGATATTCAGAGCTATTGTTTAATAACAGTGGAAGTGTGAATGAGAATTGGCAACCAGCATGCAAATAAGAGCCAAAAAGTGAACATTAAAAAAGAAAGCAATATGCAGTTTAACACGAGAACAATGGAATTAACAATGGAATTAACAATGGAATTAACGTAACGTTGTGCGCGTATGGAACACGGCGTGAAATCATTACAATAATTGGATAATGGGGGGGTAGGGGAGAATGGTGAAGCAGACGATGGTGGCAGTTGGTGGGAGAAATGTTGACCCTCTTAGGTGGGTAGGTGGTGGAATGTAGGTGGTAGATGGTGGAATGTAGGTGGTGGAATGTAAGTGGGTAGGTGGTGGAATGTAGGTGGTAGGTGTTGGAATGTAGGTGGTAGATGGTGGAATGTAGGTGGTGGAGTGTAGGTGGTGGAATGTAGGTGGTAGGTGTTGGAGTTATGGTGGTAGGTGTTGGAATGTAGGTGGTGATGGTGGAATGTAGGTGGAGTGTGTGGTGGATGTAGGTGGTAGGGTTTTGGAATGTAGGTGGTAGATGGTGGGAATGTAGGTGGTAGGTGGTGAGTGTAGGTGGTAGGTGGTGGAATGCAGTGTGGGTAGGTGGTGGAATGTAGTTGGGTTAGGTGGTGGAATGTAGGTGTTGTGGTGTTGGAATGTAGATGGTGGAATGTAGGTGGTAGGTGTGGAAATGTAGGTGGTAGGTGGTGGACTGTAGGTGGTAGGTGGTGGAATGTAGGTGTAGGTGGTGGAATGTATGCGGGTAGGTGGTGGAATGTAGGTGGGTAGGGGTGGAAGTAGGTGGGTAGGTTGGCGGAATGTAGGTGGGTAGGTGGCGGAATGTAGGTGGTAAGTGGTGGAATGTAAGAGGGTAATGTAGGTGGGTAGGTGGTGGAATGTAGGTGGTAGGTGGTGGAATGTAGGTGGGTAGGTGGTGGAATGTAGGTGGTGGAATGTAGGCGGGTAGGTGGTGGAATGTAGGTGGGTAGGTGGTGGAATGTAGTGTGGGTAGGTGGTGGAATGTAGGTGGTAGGTGTTGGAATGTAGGTGGTAGGTGTTGGAATGTAGGTGGTAGATGGTGGAATGTAGGTGGTAGGTGGTGGAATGTAGGTTGGTAGGTGGTGGAATGTAGGTGGTAGGTGGTGGAATGTAGTTCGGTAGGTGGTGAAATGTAGGTGGTAGGTGTTGGAATGTAGGTGGTAGATGGTGGAATGTAGGTGGTAGGTGGTGAAATGTAGGTGGGTAGGTGGTGGACTGTAGGTGGTAGGTGGTGGAATGTAGGTGGTAGGTGGTGGAATGTAGGCGGGTAGGTGGTGGAATGTAGGTGGGTAGGTGGTGGAATGTAGGTGGGTAGGTGGCGGAATGTAGGTGGTAGGTGGTGGAATGTAAGAGTGGAATGTAGGTGGGGTAGGTGGTGGAATGTAGGTGGTAGGTGGTGGAATGTAGGTGGGTAGGTGGTGGAATTATGGGTGGAATGTAGGCGGGTAGGTGGTGGAATGTAGGTGGGTAGGTGGTGGAATGTAGGTGGGTAGGTGGTGGAATGTAGGTTGGTAGGTGTTGGAATGTAGGTGGTAGGTGTTGGAATGTAGGTGGTTGTGGTGGGAATGTAGGTGAAGTAGTGGTGTGTATTGAATGAGGTTGGTGGTGGGTGATGTAGTGTGGGTAGTGGTGGAATGTAGTTCGGTGGTGGTGAAATGTAGGTGTAGGTGTTGGAATGTAGGTGGTAGAATGGTGGAATGTAGGTGGTAGGATGTGTGAAATTTGTGGTGGGTAGGTGGTGGACTGTAGGTGGCGGAATGTAGGTGGTAGGTGGTGGAATGTAGGCGGGTAGGTGGTGGAATGTAGGTGGGTAGGTGGTGGAATGTAGGTGGCGGAATGTAGGTGGTAGGTGGTGGAATGTAAGAGGTGGAATGTAGGTGGGTAGGTGGTGGGATGTAGGTGGTAGGTGGTGGAATGTAGGTGGGTAGGTGGTGGAATGTAGGTGGTAGGTGGTGGAATGTAGGTGGGTAGGTGGTAGAATGTAGGTGGGTAGGTGGTGGAATGTAGGTGGGTAGGTGGTGGAATGTAGGCGGGTAGGTGGTGGAATGTAGGTGGGTAGGTGGTGGAATGTAGGTGGGTAGGTGGTGGAATGTAGGGTCCTCGTTTAAGACTTGTAGAGGTGGTAGGTGGGAACGCAAGTCCCTTACCTTGCTAAGTTACTTAATTCAGCCTCTTTGCAGCACAGGGAAACCAAAAGTAACGACAGCGTTGCGTTTAGCCTAGTGCAAACCTAACCCAACCTTACCTTATATATGTGAAATATTTTCTGTAGTTGAAATTCTTCCTTACTGTAAGGATGTTAATTTTCATCTTCGTAGTTGTATATTCTGGATATTAATTAACGAACGGTGCTGGTTTTTATATTCCTGACACACACACACACACACACACACACACACACACACACACACACACACAATGTAAGTTTATTTTTCTTTGAATAAGTATTCCACATTAGTGAGGAATGTCAAGAATCATCCCGTAGTGTCCTCACAACAATTAATATACAGTACTTGACTCTGCTGGTAGCGGTATTTCTTCGTCCTTGATAATGTTTCCTGAGGTTGATGTTAGTCGTATCATCACTCGCTCATTGGCTAGACAACTGCTAGGTATCAACCTCGTTTAAAACAAGAACAGGTCTAATTATAAGTTTTTTTAACTTTTAAATTGGTTGTGAGATATTTGCATAACTAATTCCACACGTTGTATAAATCTGAGTGACAGAGGGAGAGATGAGAGGAAGACGACAAAGTGACAGCGCGCAGCATAACTGAATAATGTGTGTGGTGAATGACTGTCAAAACAATCGCGTTTGTCAGCCTGTACTTACCATAAGTGTGTGCAGGAACCAGCTATAAGGTGACCCCAGGAACCGGCTATGAGTCGAAGCCCAGTAGGCAGAGCAACTTGCTGTAAGTCGACACTGGCAAGAAATAGACACTTCCTCTGCTTTCTTACGTCGGGTTCGGTGGGAATTGTGCGGTAAGACTACGGTGAGTGGAGACACCGAGCGACAGGTGGCAGGAGCACAGGTAAACACCTTTACACAAGGCAAGGCGACGCTCTCAAACTATTTTTATTTTTGTTTGGTGCGCGCGCGCGCGCGTGTGTGTGTGTGTGTGTGTGTGTGTGTGTGTGTGTGTTGTGTGTGTGTGTGTGTGTGTGTGTGTGTGTGTGTGTGTGTGTGTGTGTGTGTGTGTGTGTGTGTGTGTGTGTGAAGCTTCCCGTAACTCAGTCTTATTTTTAATATTCTCTGTTACATAAAAAGTTAGTATTTTGTTTTTAGTTCTACCAAAAAAAAAAAGAGAGAGAGAAATCTGTTACATTATTCCAAAATACTTAATTTTGCGTATAGCGGGTTTTTATAAGCCTTTCAGTGCCCATTGAAACATGGCAACAAAAAAGTCTTGGGTATACAAAGGTTCAGCGACTTTCTAAAAGGATCTCTACTGCCTGTAATGGAACAGTGTGTGTAAAGGTGAGAAACTCGTAATTACTTAGCCCTGGGGAGGGTGATGGTTGAAGGCCTGAGGAGGGTGTGGGTGTTGTGAAGGCTCCCTTGCACTCGCCCTTCAAAGAGACGTACTTGCCCTCCGGTTCGGAGAGGCAATTTTGAGATGATTATCTGTAACGGCGGCTTTATAGATACTCGTTGATCATCAACAAGTCGAGCAGAAAGACTCACTGCAAGGCTGAGATAAAGTGTTCAATATAAACAACATTCTGCATGCTCACATCAGAGAAACAGTTATCACGCTTTCACTGAATTATTGACCACGTAAAGGGTAATATTTGCAGCTCACTAGCAGCCGCAAACCCTGAGGTTCACGGGTTTAGAGGCGTCCTGAGGAACTAGGGACGCGCGGGGAGTTCCTTGACCGAGCGCTGGGAGTCCCGCAAGGTAAGTGCTGGGACCACTACTTCCTGCAGCTGCTGTTGCTGCTGCTGCTGCTGCTGCTGCTGTCTTCACGGGTGCCGGGAGACGACTGACTGACTGCTGCATTCTGCTCTGCCGTTCCTACTCACCTGTTTTTCTTGTCAACCACGCCCCCTCCTCCCCCTCCTCCTCCCCCTCCTCCTCCTCCTCCTCCTCCTCCTCCTCCTCCTCCTTCTCCTCCTCCTCCTCTTCCTCATCCTCTTCCTCCCTTCTTCCTCCCGGTTCTCCTCTCCCCGCTCCTTCACCTCTACCTCCTTCTCCACCTCCCCCGCTCCCTCTCCTTTAATATCATCTCCCTCTCTTCCCTCTCTTCTTTTAATTCCTTCTGCTTTCTATTATAATACTAATCTAATCTGATTCTCAGTACTAACACCACCTCCTCTTTCAGTACCTCCTACCTATCCTCCTCCAGTACCATCACAACCTCCATCTCATCCTCCAGTACCATCACCACCATTCTCTCTTCCAGTACCACCTCCATCTTTCTCTCCACAGATATTTTAAACCACGTAATCCTCTCTCTCATGTGACTATGCTGAGTAACAGCACTAACTAGACGTATGTCTTACAAAAATAACCTACACATAGGAGAGAGAAGCTTACGACGACGTTTCGGTCCGACTTGGACCGATTGCTGCGCGATCCGAGAAAGGTATTTAATAACCCCAAGCCACTGTACCTCAATGAACAAGACTGGAACAGTGCAGAGCTGAATAGGGTGATAACGTGACTATATATAACTGTTGTAGGTTTGAAGGGTATTAGGAGAAAGTGGACCTAGTAGAGACAAGTGAAGAGGCGGGGCCAGGAGCTATGACCCAGCCCCTGCAACCAAAATTAGGTGAGTACACACACACACAAACACATACACACACATACACACACACACACACACACACACACACACACACACACACACACACACACACACACACACACACACACACACGCACAACCTGCTGCTGGCCCAAAACTTAGTTCAATAAAGGTTTTACAGAGTCAAGACTTACGACTCAGAGAAGCCTGGGAAATTTCCTCAGTAGAGTGACGCTCTATCGATGAATTAAAGCCGACGCCAAGAGACTACCAGTATATCACCTGTGTCTCAAGATACTTCCTGCCAGCCATAACTCAATGTGGCTCACCTGCGTCCACCTCAATATTCCAGCTCGCCAGTGAATCTTCGTAAGGGCAGGATGAGAGGCGCCCCCAGCCTGAAGGATTTATTCGTTACCAGATGAATTTGAGGGTAAAAATTATTCCGTGATGGTGTCAGGTGAGGAAACTAGCTGCCTGGTCTTATTAAATGTTTAAAATACAAATGTTCTTTTTTTATTTAATGGTCTTCGGCACCAGGCCGAGACTGACTGACTGTCTGTCTGTCTGTCTGTCTGTCTCTCTCTCTCTCTCTCTCTCTCTCTCTCTCTCTCTCTCTCTCTCTCTCTCTCTCTCTCTCTCTCTCTCTCTCTCTCTCTCTCTCTCTCTCTCTCTCTTCTCCTCTCTCTCTCCTCTCTTTCTTTTCTCCTCTCCTTCTCCCTCTCTCCTCTCTCTCTCCCTCTCCTTTCTCCTCTCTCTCTCTCTCTCTCTCTCTCTTACACAGAGTTTGACAGCGTTAGGTTAGTCCCGAGCTTTATCGACAAGCTATTGACAAGTTTAAGGATTCTAACTTTATTGACAAGCTAAGAGCTGTTATACATCAGCTAATTTGAAGCATTTTATTTTATGAAACATTATAAGTTAGGGGAACAGGAATGATAATTGGAGCAATCTGTGGGCCAGCATTTTCATCTGATACTGACTTTTTATCTCGTTTGACATCATAATGCTTGTACGAATGTGTTTAGATGAGTCATCCTGGGATTTAATTTATCTCAGATGAAGTGATGTTCTGGAGAAGGGCACACCCAGAGTGAAGTTGCTGCTTTCTGCCCGTCTTGTGGTATAGAAGCTTGCTTCCCGCTGTCCTCGAAGTGGAGCCAAGTGTGGTACTTTGACAATGTTAGCCTTGTACATAACAGTAAGGCCACCCACATCCCTCCTGTGTCGAAGGCTCTGCTGAAATGACAGGTCTATCCAGGATGGATCCAGGCGAGAGATGAGACGTCTTGTTCTGTTCTCTACTCTGTCAAGCACTCACAGATGAGATGGGGGGGGGGGCAGGCAAACCAAGAAAGTGGAGCATACTCCAGATGTGAGCATACTTGTGCCTCATACAGAATACTGCAACCCTTTCTCATTCTCTTTCTTCCACTCTTTCTCTTTACTTCTGCCCCTCCTCCCCTCTTCTTCTATCCCTTTCTCTTCCTCCCTCTCCCCCTCCCTCTCCCTCTCCCTCTCCCTCTCCCTCTCCCTCTCCCTCTCCCTCCCCCCTCTCCCTCTCCTCTCCCTCTCCCCCCTCCCTCCCTCCCTCCCTCCCTCCCCCCTCCCTCCCTCCCTCCCTCCCTCCCTCCCTCCCTCCCTCCCCCCCCCTCCCTCCCTCCCCCCCCCCCCTCCCTCCCTCTCACTTTTTAAACTAACACTAAAGGGCTACAAAAATATGAATGAGGGACCCCTTCACATAAGTTAGGTTTAGGCTTTATCGTGCCTCAATCACTGCAAATCGTCCCTTGCAACATTATGTCTTAGTGTTTTTTTTATCAGGGGGGGAATTTATGCATACTTAGCAAAGCCTTGCGGGGGCAGAGTGAAGCTAAATTGTCGCGGTTTATGAATCGTTAAATCCCCGCTGGTCATCCAGGGCAAGAAGTGCTGAAGTCTCGACCCTTCAGTCTCCTAACTAGCTATACAGTAAGGGACTCTCCAGTCTCCTGATTAGCTATGCAGTAAGGGGCCCTCCGGTCTCTTAACTAGCTATACAAAATGGGTCTCTCTAGTCTCCTGACTAGCCATATGAGGCCTGGTTACAGACCGGGCAGCAGGAGCGTCAACCCCCGACACCCTCTCCAGATATATTCCAGGTATATTGTAAGGGACCTTCCAGTCTCCTGACTAGTTGAACTAAGGGACCCTGCAATCTATTGACTAGTTATACAGTAAGGGGCCCTCCGTACCCGCTTGAACTGGTCATGAAGAGCAAGATATCTTACAGTGGTGAGCTTGGAATCGTGGAGATCCGGTTACAAGCAGAGGCAACATTACAAACCGGAATGCGAGAGTGAGGAAAAGACAGATCACGATTCACTCTCAGATTCTTCTCAGAAAAGATCCCCTCAAGGAAGGTTCCTTGATGTTGGTGAGGGGCTCTTGATTTAGGGACTTGGATCTGTGCTCCAGTTCCCCGAATTAAGCCTGAATGCCTTCCACATCCCCCCCCCAGGCGCTGTATAATCCTCCGGGTTTAGCGCTTCCCCCTTGATTATAATAATAATAATAATTCTCAGAAAAGAAACTTCATCCTAAGGACATGTTAATCCTCAAATTTGATTTTGTAGCTGTTGTTGTGGGTGCATCACTGGCTCCTCGGAGAAGTGTCTTAGAGAAGAATGCTTCCATTAGAACTACCGTAACCAGACTCGTAACAGTTTAAAGACCGGACCGTAACGCCGTGTGATACACAACAACAATACAATTACGAAAGAGCAGATTGTATCTCTGTATATATATATATATATATATATATATACACACCGAGCCGAGTGTCTGTTGCTATATATACACCAACAGATGTGAATCCGTCAGTGTTTAGGAATTAGTCAGCGCACAGGTAATTCGTCGACTCAACGACCGTCGCACAGTCGGCAGGCATAATACACAGCATATCAGACAACGTCTCATAAAATGTTTTGCAGACATTCAGTCATCACTTTGAAGCAAGAACCAGATGTGTCTTAATAATACAGGACGTCACTCGACTGCCTTGCCATATTCACCTAGTGATTCTCTATCTTCACAGACATTTCTTATTGAGAATATTGCCTTCGTTGTTGAAATCTGCCTTTCTGTCTGCTTTTCTCTTACTCTCTCTCTCTCTCTCTCTCTCTCTCTCTCTCTCTCTCTCTCTCTCTCTCTCTCTCTCTCTCTCTCTCTCTCTCTCTATCTATCTATCTATCTATCTATCTTTGATTCACATACATATAAATGATAGAAATGCAGCAGTAACGACAGGCCGTAGCAGCCCAGGGCTGCAAAGGTTCGTTGCTGCTCAATTACCTTCACACACACACACACACACACCCCACACACACACACACACACACACACACACACACACACACACCACACACACACACACACACACACACACACACACACACATACACACACACACACACACACATACACACACACACACACACACACACACACACATACACACACACACACACACACACACACACACACACACACACACATACACACACACGCCACACACACACACACACACACACACACACACCAAAAACACACACACACAACACACACACACACACACACACACACACACACACACACAGGTGAACGACCAGCCCTGGAAAGGCCGTCTGGTAGATCCTGAAATGCCACCTATGTTTTTACTTATTTTTTTTTTTAAATAATAAAAGATTCCACTAGCATGATTTTTTTTTTATTATTCAAGTATCGCTTTCTCGCTCGCAAGTGTTTTTGTCTTTTAATATCTTCGTGCAATGTGAAAAAGAAATCCGTTGAACAATACTGATTTGTTGCCTTAATCAATGGCTTTCTTGGCATTTTTCACCTAATGGTACAATTCACAAATAACCCGCACATAGAAGAGAGGAGCTTACGACGACGTTTCGGTCCGTCTTGGACCATTTACAAAATCACACAAACGAAAAGGAGAGAAGGAGGGGTATATATATAGGCTGGAGGTGGTAGTACTAGTAGTAGTAGTGAACTACTAGTAATACCACCTCTTACCTATATATACTCCCTCCTTCTCTCTTTTTTGTTAGTGTGATTTTGTAAATGGTCCAAGACGGACCGAAACGTCGTCGTGAGCTCCTCTCTTCTATGTGCAGGTTATTTGTGTCTGCCTCTATCGCTTCGGCGAAGTTTTGCTCCCAGA